AACTATTACTCCTTTCACCAAAAATTGAGGTCACTTTGAGAGCCACCTTTTTCTTTCTTTACAATCATCGGTGTACCGAAAAGATTATCAAATTGCAAAGTGATACAGCTATCAAGTTGAGGTCACCTTCAGACAAGTTTTCTCTCGTACCTAATGCTACTTTTGTAAGATGGAATCAATTCACCTGCTACATACTTAGAGGAGCATATATGCATAGTGCGATAGGAAATAAAGCAAAACATATTATTGCAATTATATTTTGGAGCAGTGATAATATATTATAATATTATAACATTTTGTTTTTTCATACCGTATTGCATGTTTAACCATTTGAAAATGTAGGTATTGATTATAACTATATACTATAATATTAGCAAGTAACACCTACCTCTCCCATTATATTATGCAGTGATAATATATTATACTATTATAACCCCCAAATGAGCTACTCCATTCCATTTAATACACACACATCGGAACAGGTACTCTATATATGGGCACTCGTTAAAATATATTTCAGGTGTTATATTTTTGAAAATATAAGATTAATTAGGAAAAGTAAATAAATACAAGGGAGGGTAGACAAAATTAAATAGAAAAAATATATAAATGCAAGAAAGGATAATAATTGTTAGTATGTGCATATATACGATAGGTTTATGTGAATGTTAGGTGTGTTAACAGGTGACGTAAGGCAGCTGTTAGAAAAGCCCCTTCTATCAACTGCAAGCAATCTCATCGTCAATTGCTAATTTCATGTGAAAACGGCAGGTTCAAAATATTGACTTGTCTCTATACATTACTTGAAGCAATTAAAGGACGTAGTAGTTTCGTGAGAAGGTCTCCAGGAAATAATCTACTCATATTTCTTAAGGGCAATATTACTATTTAGTTAGTAAGGGTGCTCGATAATCCCTTTAAGTACTTAAAATCAATAAATTAAGAAATATTGTTTTATTAAGCTTGTTTGGCAGCAAAATTCCCTTGCATCTGAATATATTAAAATCAAATTAATTTTTCTACAAAATTTAAAACGAAAGTGTTATCACTTAATTTACTATATGTTCAAATTAGTATAATGATACTCACTCAAAATTATTTCCTCCCACCACAGTCCTACACTCTTTTACACAAATACACTGCTCTCTTTCTCTTTCACACACATATATGTTTCTGCCACATAATCGCGCAACGCACACACTTTCTCTCACAACATACATATACAAATGCGTACGTTTTCATTACCTACACATATTTTCTAAATATCATACATTTATTATACAATAAAAACATGCATCTTTTCATTCCCCCAAATACACACATTTTCATACACATAACATTCAGTTTTTATACTAGTTTCATTTTATCAAAACTAAAAAGTAATAGTTAAAAACTTAATTCCATCTAAAGTGAAATAAAATATGGGTAGTGAACTTTATAATAAACGTAAAATATAATACTTCAATTCAATGCTCAAATTCAACAGATTATCAAATAAATTTAACTTCATGAATTCAACAACAAGTTCAGACATCGATACTTGAGTTTTAGCTTTCAGATTTTAATTTTTAATTTTATCAAATGCTCCCTAAGTCATGTTTTCTATATTGTGTATCAATTTTTTTTGTGATCAAACTAATTCACAGTACCCTCTTCATTTTCCATTTTGTACAACTCAAATACAAAATAAGAGCCCCATTCTGTAGAGTTTTACTTCTTTTTCGTCCTTTACCATTAACATCCAACTCCACTGTCTAAGCTATGTTAACTTTCTTCCTCTCAAGCACCTGAGGGTGTTCATCTGCATATTGCATTCGTAATTGTACATTTATTTATTCGTTTCAAAATTGAGAAAGACATGAATATTTCTCTTTACTTCATGTTCTGCATATTGGAGAACTCGCCACAAAGTAAAAGGAAATGTTAATCACGTTCAGCTGTTGGTTGACTAAGACAATGACAATTTTGAGGAGCAGAATTTGATTAATAATTACAAGTAACAAATACACAAATTTTCTTCCACCGTACCAAAAAAAAAATTAATTTCCACGTTTTAGTACTGGTGTATCATACTAGGCTTTTCTCGACTTTATACCGTCTAAAGTCATATTTTGTTCCTCTTGCTTTACGAAATGGAAAATTGCATGTATTAATACATCGTAAATCAGCACGAAACAAACCAAAAATTGAACTTTGGAGAAATCACAACATCATCAACTACGGGATATGATCGAAACGCTAGCAAGATTGTGTGGAAAAAATTAAACCAAGTCTTCCAATCAATTATTTCCATTGGTTCATGTGGGCTTCTTCTTATCAATCAGATACGACTAGGGCTGTCAACGGGCCGGGTCCGGGCCGAAATTCATTATTCCGGACCCGGACCCGAATTACTATGCCGGATCCGGATCCGACCCGTTTACCCGACGGGTCTTTTATCCTATGTTCCGGATCCGGATCCGGCGGGTCCGGATCCGGATCCGGGTCTACCCGAACAAATTTACCAAAATTTATAATTTCTAATAAAAATGAGAAAAAAATATATTTGTAAACTAATTGCTAACTAATGCAAAGAAAAAACCAAATAAGAAAAGAAATCAAATTAACTTTATTAAAATACATCACCCTAATCAAATTATATTGATAAATATATATTTTTTAAATTATTAATTTATTTATATCCGGATCCGGGTCTAATACGGGTCGGAATACTATATTCCGTATCCGACCCGTTTTTTGTTTGACAAAACGGATCCGGATCCGGATCCGAGAAACGGAATTAAATCCCTACCCGTACCCGCAATAATTTCACGAATCCGGTCCGGATCCGGGTCTAGACCCGACCCGTTGACAGGCCTAGATACGACCAGTTTGTGTGGATTAGTTGTTAAGAAACTATTTTGACTGGTTGGAATAGCCACCATTTTATTAGTTAAATATTAGACGCAAGTTAATTAACTAAATGTTAGGCGGACTTGATTCCTTCATGAATGTTTTTGCGTGTTTATTCGATTAGATAATCTGCAAGTTGTGGTCTTAGGACTCAATCACGGCAAAGTAGGATAAGGATGGCGACGTAACTATTTTGGAGTGAGGGAAGCTTTTTCCACCCCGCACCGTTCTACAAAAGTTCCTCCTGCTTCCATTCCGTCCCTCGCATCCCCCAACACACCTGGCCTGCCCACTATCTCCGCAGGGCCATTCGGCCCGCTCCATTACGATTATTATTTTTTTATTCAACTTAATTTTTTCTATTTATGTAGATCTGATAATGATTTTATTAATCATTCTTTTGAAATTTTAGCAAAAAATTATATCATTTTATCATAACAATATACACATGTTACTTATTTCATACAAATATATTTATATAATAACAATAACATAACATTTATTTCATAGTATATACATAACATTTATTTCATAGTATATACATATAAACATACATATATGTTATACTATATTAAAATTTAGGCGGGAGGCGAGGCGGGGAATGGGGCAGGGGTATGCTATCTCGCCTCCCTTCCCATTTAAGGTGGGGGGAGAAGAATTTCCCTTTCCCTCCCCCCCCTCCTTCTTCCCCTGTCCTATTCCACCTGTTAGGTTTACGAGTAAAGGGTTATATTCCACATTCGATCCGAGAAATAAAGAAAGAGCAGTTAGTATGTAAGGAAGAGTCTGAGACCTAATGGTTTAAGTTTTTTGGTCAGAGTTGGGTTCGTGACTTACGTGTTGGGCTCTTTGGTAGACTCTCTCTAGGTATTTTTCCCAATCAAATTGGTATCAGAGTTTCAGGTTGTGAGACTATACTACTACTCATTGGCAAGTGGATTCTTCTTAGAATTGGACCGGTGAAAATTCTCTTCTTAATGGCAGACCGAAGTGCCAACGAGTTTGGTTAGTGTTGGATCAGGTGCGCCATGGGTTTGACAGGGGGTCCGGTTGGTGTTAGACCAACGAATCAAAGGTTAGTAGGGATTCAAAATGTAGTTTGGATATTGAAAAAGAGTAGGTCCATATTTGGGAGAAGATGTTACCTTAGGTGATAAGGTGAGCTTGTGTTGAGTATTAAAGTGGGTTCGAAAAAGAACTTGTAAATTTGGGTTTAAAGTGGGGGTTACTCATGAGGGGGGAGATTTGTTAGGTTCATGAGTAAATGGTTATGTCCCATATTTGGTCCAAGAGATAGAGAAAGAGCGGTTAATATGTAAGTAAGGGTTTGAGACCTAATAGTTTAAGGTTTTGGGTTAGAGTTGAGTTCTTGACTTATATATTAAGCTCTTTAGTGAACTCTCTCGAGGTATTTCCCCCTATCACCACCTCTTGCGGAGCAGGTACTTGCTTTCATTGGCATCCCTAACGTGGGTCTACTAAGTCGGCTTAAATTGATCTTCTTTTTTTTTTTTTTTTTCTAATCCTTCCACCTTTTCCCCTAAACCCTTCCCATCTCTAACTGTTAGGCATAGGATTCGAATTTCGAACTTGAAAATAGGAAAGACCATAAGAACCCTCCCATGACCATTTGGCCGATTTCAGTGGTTGGTTTAAACCAACTTGGAACGCTGTTAGTTAAAAAAAATTATGTAATATGAGGTTTGAGTAATAAAAGAGATGTCATTTTGTCTCCCATTCCTTTCTTTTCAATACTTATTTTCCCTTCATTATTTTGTGCCTCGAATTTATTTGGATGTTCAAAATTATGTAGCTCTAAAAATTTTCCAGGAAGGGGTGTCAAATTATATACACTTTTGCTGTGTGTGTTTAACTGTTTATTGAGCCAACAGCAACTACAATAGAGTGACAAGATACAATTAACGAGACAGAATCAGCAAACATGTATATGTTTGTTTGCATTTCTTTCCCTTTTTGGAATTCTAGATGAGAGCATACACTCCATGAGAAACAATAAATTAATAAAGGAAAAAAGAATAAATTAATGTATCATATACTTCTTGTTTAATGAAAACAGGCATTTTAATTCCTGGTGCTGATTGAGATGATCATGATGGTTCCTGGTGGAAGTTCCAGATTTTGCTGCACTGATAGAACTCGCAAAAGGTCTGCAAGCTAAGCACGACCAGCAGCACCACAGTGGAAACCAGGGCCAGATGTTTCCATGAAGCAAACAAACTCCTCTTTAACCGTCTAACCGTCCTGACCAAAAGCTTCTTGCCATAGAATTTGTTAACTTTCTCAACGGCAACTTCGATGTTGGACTTGTGATCTGAGCCAGCATAACATCTCTTCATACCGTTGAATTGATCAGCAATTTCATCATCCGTGAGACCCCCCTTGATCACCCCATTTTGCTTCAGCAGCTTCACGTCTTCTGCAGTGTCTATAATCCCATTCATGAGGTTGACGTATCGAGCAAATTCAAGGGTTGGCTTAGACATAGCAGCCTCGTAGGCCACCAGATTCCTCATTATCACTTCTGAGCTCGCGTTCAAATTCATTACAGGAAGGTACAAAGCGGCTTCCTCTTCCACGAACTTGATCTCTTTAATGCTCCCAATGAAGGGTTTGCATTGGACTTTAGCATAGCGCCAGAGATGAGATACCGACGGAATTTCGATTTCATCATCTTCTGAATTTTGCTCTTTAGTACCTACGTTGCCTTTTCTGAACAGTCCCGAAATAGTTGACCACGGAATACTTGAGACAAGCTTAACAGGCCGAAGAAGGTCCTGGGTACGCTTGTTACCAAAGGTCTCCACCAATTCCAAGATTGCTCCCAAATTATTATTGCGAAACACGTCTGGATTTTCCCCATCTGTCGAGGAGGACGAGGATGAAGAGGTCAATGAGTTCCTGAATTCTGTATAAGTTGGTATGGCTTGAATGAGACCATTTCCTAAGGATCCAGACACGACAGAACCTGGGACATTAACAATCAGATGATACATCATATCTAACAAATGCAGAGGTCTACGGTAACGGTCTTGGTTGGTCTTATCACTTGAGAACTTAACAGGAGATTGTGCTTCACACAATTGAAATAACATCAAGGTCAGCTCAATATCATCTCCTTCCTCCTGACCATTAGAGTTAGGAGAGACTTGCGAATCTTTTTCAACAGAACAAATGGGATTTGATTCTCGAGCATCACGATATCTCTCGTGACAATAGTGTTGTCCAACAATCTCTTGTCCGTGTTCTCATCTTGCACAAGATAAGAATGCAAGATGTGGAGAAAGAAACAACCGTCTATTGCTACGATCCACGCCAACGTATCTTGATCATAGTCCATGAACTTATTGTAACAAGCCCGGATAGAGGGATCCATCTCCTTCAACCTGTTGATCACGACATGTTGGAAATTGGAAAGCTGATCTGGGGTTGAGATCTCTTTGATGGCGGCGAGCTTGTACCTCTCCATGTGATAGAGCTCGGGGTGTAAATGATGGTAAGGCCCCATGGCTATGAGATGAGGAGTATAAGCTTCGGGTTTTTGAAGTTTCAGTATTTTGGGGACTTCAAAAACAGAAACGGGAGGGAGATGGTCGATGTCGATAGCAAATTCTGTGCGGAAGATGTTGCTGACTCGATCAACCCAGCCCCTGGCGCTAGAGCTTAAGGGAACTGTGCCTGATGAATATGAATGTTCCATTTCTTTGGTTTTGGGATGATGTGAAAATGTTTAGCTTGACGATTGGTATTTATGGGAATGCAGATCCTGGTCGCCGCAATAACTTAACGGTGGACAGTTATTCTAATTTAGGAAGCAATTCATTTTGTTTGATGACGATGATAAGAATGTTGATAACTGAAAAAAAAAATGGTGGTCATATTACACATTTGACATGTTAACATGGTAGATATATTCACTTAATAGGGAGACTAAGAATAGTATGCGCTACGAAAGAAGCAATTGATTGTTCGACTAATTCTGCAAGAACCTTGAAATGAAGACTATTAGTTAGATTAAATCACAAGCATACGAGTGTAATTCAGGCATTTCTTTTCTTTTCCTCCCTTTTTAATTCATGCCTTTCTTTTAAAAGAAAAAAGAAGAAGAGACAAGCATCATGCTGTGCTAGTTTGGGGAAAAATTCCAAAAAATTATGAAACTTGAAATTTAGCATTTCAATGGGGTCTGTCTTTCCACTGCTTTCAGTTGCTTGAACATTGTACCTGGATGGAAATTGCATTATGTATTTGAATCTTTTTCTTGTAAAAAAATTTTCATTCTTGACCTAATCAAAATTACACAGTTTTGGCCTAAAAAAAAAATATTTTTTTGGCAAGTCATTTTCATGCTACGAAATACTATGTGCTGGCATGCACGTACATCGTTACGAGCATCCACAACATTAATAAAAATTAGGAAGAAATTAGAAAAGTGAATGTCATTGTTAGAGAGATGTTGTATATTTACCCTTATTATTAAGGGGGAAAAAATGAGAGGGGCAGAAAACGTCTTTGTTGAATGTCTCCAGATGATCAAAAAAAAATTAATGTCGATCGCCCTTGATCTTTTCAAGTGACTACCATTTTCTTCCTGTCTCACGAAAGGTAGAATGGAAATATAAAATGTTTATGCTGTTAAATTTCTTCCAATGGCTTGTGCTAGTGTTTTATTCTTTAATTTTTTTTTCCAGTGGAAAGGAATGAAACTTAAGAAGTGGGAAATGAGCAAGGAAATTTAAACCAATAGCTCATATTCTTGGAGAATCCTCGGCAGCTTCTGCTAATGTACTGTCTATTCAGTCTATTAATTTTTTTCAAGGAAAAGATATTCTTAGAGGGATACGCATGAATGGTCAAAAATAAACGACATTACTATATCGTTGTCTGCAGAGGTTTGCTGGGTATAATAATAAATACAAAGTTCAACTTGCAGTAGAGGGCGGTTGTTTTCCTCGATTTAGTACAACATATACTTAAGTAACTTAATCAAGGTCAATTATTCGGTTAGTATAACACCGCTGAAGATCAAATATCTGTTGAATTTCACCTTGAATAAATCTGTTGGACATGAATATAGATTATTCAGGTAAAATACTTTTTTAAAACCCCATTTCTGGTAGCATTTTCTTTCGTAGTTATACTTCATTTTATCCTAAGAATGTATTTCGGGTTGCTGATTCCTTATTTATAACGTGCAAGTAATTGCTTGGGGGATCTGTGACCAAACAAAACAGTATAGATCGATAATAAGAAGACTGCAACTTCGTGTCACCACAAATTTTACTTTCTTATACAAATTTGGATTTAATGTCATAATTATTTAAAGAGTTTATCTAATAGGCATCTAATGGGTATTCATTAACATGCCTAAAATCCACTCACCCTACTATGTATATGTATATGTTAACAATTATTACCTTCTTGATGGGGTGCATTTTGTTAATAAATTTGTGAATAATTGGTAGATTCTATTCATATTTGGTAAATAGTATTAATTGTAGGAATGTAAAGCAAAAAAAAAAAAGGTAAAGGGTGAATTTCCAAAAGACCTATGTACAATTTAGCATGGACACGTCAAAGTAAGTTCTGCAGTCAAATTCGGAAAACTCGGATTTTTACTGCAAAGGGGTTCCTATAGCAGTTGGGATTCTTGGGCTGATGTGTGAACGTGATTCTTCTTTCAAGACACTAGTTTCCAATTCATATTAGGAACCGTTTGTTTATGTTATCTTTTTCGAATTTTCTTTTTTCCAATAGAAAGTATTCCTTATCTTGATAGCTATAAAATAGGAAATTAGTTAGGAAGGAATAGGAGAGAACGTCTAGCTGTTGACCATCTTTTCTTGTAGGTCAAGAAATATACATCGTATTTTTTTTTTTTGTGGAGGAGACGTTTGTTATAATTTTCCTATATTTTGCGTTGGAATTTTTCTCCATGAGGAGCAACTAATTTTCTCTTCTAGTCAAAGGTCAACTTGAAGATGTGGTTCCCAAACATCTATGAGATTGAATTTTTAATTGTTTCTTTTAATTCATTGATATTCATATGTTTTTTGATTTAATTTCTTATGATTGTTTTGTTATTTGAATGTCAAGGGCCAGATATTCTAATTAACCTAATTATCTACTACTATATTAATTAGTGAAATTCGTAATTGTTTGATTGGTTAAAACTAGTGGTAACTATCATGATTGATTTTATATTAGAGAAACGTATGATCTGATTTAAATAAATCATCGTAGCATGTTTATTGGCTAGAGTTGTGCTTTTTCTAGTGTTTAATGCAATCGGAAAATTAAATCCTACAGTCGTATCTAGGATTATTTCTTGTTTAGAAAAATAATTAATGGTCATACATTGACTATCGATAAAAGAAGGAAAAGTTGGCTGTCAGAGTTTGTTAATAGATATAACCAATGTAACGAGTGATTGAACTATTCTTGCATTAATGATTCGTTGTGCGAATCGTATCCCTAAAGTTGCATCTTTGGCTAGAGTCGAGTCTATTATTGATTTAATTCTTGTTTATTTGTGTAAATTGCTTTTATGATTGGTTAATTAGTTATTTTTTAAATTTTCAAAAATTCCCCTATAATTCTCACACTCAAAAGAAGCAAATTTCTCCCTAGTCTCTGTGAAGATGACCCTACTCACTGTTATATGCAAATTTATATTTTCTTGAGTAGGACTTTTATTATTGCATAGAATCAACACATGTCACTTCTCTTACATTTATACACTTTTTGTAATTAACCTTAACTATTTAAAAATTTAACACTTGAAATGCATATTAACGAGTGTCCAATAAATACCATTAAGATTCTTATTTAAAAAGCAACTCCAATTAAAGTATTTCTAATTAGTTTTATTTTCTTTTGAATTTTTCAAGTAAACAAGAATCATGATTCTTTTCTGTTTCTTTTTTACCTTAGGGATTCTACCCCCGTGGAAATTTGCAAGAACCTCACAAGTTTGCTAGGAATTTCTTATCAGAAATAGACTACAAGAACGGTTTTAAACTCTAAATTCTGAGATCAATGTTAAGGCATGCTTCACACTGAAATCAGATATCCAAGCACATATTTGAGCAAAACAAGTAATTGTAATCTGTGAATCGTATAATACTTAGTCCTTTTTTCTTTTTGCTAACTTTTTAAGAAAACTCTTAACGGTCAATATTGTGCAGGCGTCAAAATAATGGCTAGAGTCAAAAGTCTGATTATCAGAAAGTGGTCCTTCATTAGGAGCCTTTTAAATTGACAAAGCTAGATGCGTTTTGGATAGGAAAGTGGAAACTACTCCACGAAAGCGCAACAGATCTTCTGTCCTACTTCCTATGTAGAGATAATATTCTTAGTTATAGTCATCACGTAACAGGTAGACACAATAAATGATTCCTAACCAAAAAAAAAAGAAGTGAAAGTGACCATGAAATTTTAATTGCTTGCTTTTGCATTTAGTTTCATTTCCACACTAGTTCTTGCCATTTCCTCGTAGGTTGGATCCCCCAAAGAAATTAAGCACGAGCTAATAGGCATAAAGAATAAGTACCATAAAATTATGTTGGACTTAGTAAGAAAATAGCAACAGAACCTAAATGATTTAGCTTGCCTTATCATGCATGTGAAGATTAAATGTTTTTTCATTAATGATCATCACCTTATAGGTGATTCGATGCGTAACCTCGAGTGAATCCTAACCACAAGTTTAATTGCTTGCATCTGCATTTGAAGTCAGTTTCACTCATTAATTCTTGACATGTGTCATACATTTACTCCTCGAATAAATGTAAACATTAGATAGTTGCCAAAAAGAATATTACCATAACATAATGCATGACTAGCTCAATTTGAGTAGATTCTAAACCATAAATTTAATTGCTTAACTCGGCATTTCAAGTCCTACACACTCTAGTTCTTGACATTTTTTTCCACGTATCTGTGGTCCCTTAGAAAATTAAGCACTCCTAGTAGGCAGGCAGAATATCAGCGTAATCTTATGTGAATTTGCTTTTAAGGTATTTGGAATATAATTACAGTGCTCAGGCTAGCAAAGTCATGCATGTGAAGAGATAATATTTTGTTTCGTTAATCA